AGGAGGAGGAGGAGATTGGATTTATACCCCCCCCTTCACTCAGAGTCTCAGAGCGCCTTACAATCTCCTTCCCTTCCTCTCTCCCCAACAGATACCTTGTGAGGCAGTTGAGGCTGAGAGAGCTCTTTCGAGGACTGCTCTTGAGATAACAGCTCTAAGAGAACTGTGACTGACCCAAGGTCACCCAGCTGGCTGGATGTGGACGAGTGGGGAATCAAACATGGTGCTCCCAGAATAGAGTCTGGAGACTCTAACTGGAGATGCCGGGGATTGAACCTGAGACCTTCTGCATGCAAAGCGGAGACTTTGCCACTGAGCCACAGCCCAGTGCTCATCCAACAGAAACTCCCAGAAGCCTCGGGCCAGGCTTCAGAGTCTATATGTCAAGACAGTGTGTGACTGCAATAAAGAAGGCCAATGCTATGCTGGGATAAGATTATGCATGGGAAAGAGCAGGTAAAGAAAGAGGTACTTTTCTCCCTTTCTCACAATACAAGAACTCGTGGGCACTCCATGAAATTGCTGAGCGGTCGGGTTAGAGCGGATAAAAGGAAGTACTTCTTCACCCAAAGAGTGATTAACACATGGAATTCACTGCCACAGGAAGTGGTGGCGGCTACAAGCATGGACGGCTTCAAAAGGGAATTAGATAAGCCTATGGAGCAGAGGTCCATCAGTGGCTATTAGCCACAAGGTATAGATAGGGGCTCTGGGGCAAGTGATGCTCTGTCTTCTTGGTGCTTGGGGGGGGGCAACAGTGGGAGGGCAACAGTGGGAGGGCTTCTAATGTCCTGGCCCCACTGGTGGACCTGCTGATGGCACCTGGTATTTCTGGCCACTGTGTGACACAGAGTGTTGGACTGGATGGACCTTTGGCCTGATCCAACATTGGCATCTCTTATGTTCTTATATTCTTTTTAGCATCTCTGATGCGTTACGGCTAGAAAAATATACAATTTGAAAAAGAATAGTTCTTTTTTTAAAAAAAATCCAGACGTTTCCTTCCCTCTTCTAACAAATGCATGCCCTTAAAAAAAGTACTCCTCCAACTTAAAGCATCCCACCACAACCAACAGAAGCTAACAGGAGGGACTGTTGTGGTAGCCATCTTGGGGAAAACGCTACACTGGAAGGACCTTGGTAGGTCGGCTGAACTGATTCGGGAAGCGGTTGGCAGCAGGGGTTACTTGAACCAGAACGGTTTCTATTCTGACAAAGAAACCACTGTTCTTTAAAGGGAAGGGCCACAGATTTAAATGCCAAAAATACAGAGATGGGGCAAATCAATGCTCCAGGTGGGGCGATGCGCCCACTGGCTCCATCATGGCCACAGCCCTGAAGGTAAAGGTGAGACACGGAGGAAAAGGAAGAGGAGGAGAAGACTGGATTTATACCCCGCCCTTCACTACCCAAAAGAGTCTCAAACCAGCCTACAATCCCTTTCCTTTCCTCTTCCCACAACAGACACCCTGTGAGGTAGGTGGGGCTGAGAGAGCTCTTTCGGGAATGGCTGTTGAGAGAACAGCTCTGAAAGGATTTGTGACTGACCCAAGGTCACGCCAGCAGCTGCATGTGGAGGAATACGGAATCAAACCCGGTTCTCCCAGATTAGAGTCCGTGCTCCTAACTGCCACACCAAACTGGCTCTAGTTTATCTAGCGGGACACTCCTCAGAAAAACTGAAAGTATGGAAGTAACAGGGCTTTATCAGCAGCATCGCACTCACCTGGAGAAGCGATTGGACATCCAGATTGGCGCATGTCTCTGTCGACTTCTGCCACCATCCTCTCGGGCAACCAAAAGTCATCTTTCCATGGAAGGGACGGTCACAGGGCTCGGTGCAGTCCTTTCCACTGACATGACAATTACCCACACATTTCTCTAGAAATCACATGGCGTGCAATAGCGTTAGTGGAAGGTAACACCAGTTGAAGTTCAGCGTCATTGCAGAAATGCTAGTGAGCCTTTCTGTCACCGTCCTCTGGCTCCTTCCAAATAGGGCTTGCCATCCCAATGGACCAGAAGCTCCAGGGAATGACATGAAAAAAATGTTTGCATTACCATAACTACACAAGAACTATTTTAGTGCTTCTGTACTAACAAGCTAAGTGGGGTGGGTACTTTGATGGGAGGCCACCAAGGGAGGCTGCAGAGGTAGGCAATGGCACGCCACCTCTGCTTCCCAATTGCCTTGAAAGCCCCATGCTGGGGCCACCATAAATCGACTGTGACTTGACGGTGCTTTATGCAGACCTCTCGGCAAGCTAAGCAAGGGTTGGTATTGAATGGGAGACCACCAAGAAAGACTCTGCAAAGGAAGGCCATGGCAAACCACCTTTGATTCCCACTCGCCTTGAAAGCCCCTTGCGGGGGGAAGCTAAGCAGGATTGGTGTAGGATGGGAGGCCACCAAGAAAGACTCTGCAAAGGAAGACAATGCCAAACCACCTTTGATTCCCACTGGCCTTGAAAGCCACTTCCTGGGGTCACCCTGAGTCAGTTGCGACTTGATGGCAACTCATTTCTAATTCGCTTTTTATTTGGTATTACTGCTCTGTAAAATGAAAGAGAGAAACTACACCCATCCATCAGACCATAAGCCTTAACAGGTGATGAATTCAACAGAAAATAGCGACAGAAGACAGGTTAGGGCAAAAATGCACAAATAACACTGGTTAAAAGGCGACAGACCACACCGAAAGGCAGCATCTGCACAGCTCAAAACCTTCCCATGTCCTTCCTCAGCTTTAGCACTTTCCGCACGAGGGGAACCAAGGAACAAAGCAGAGGAAAGTTTTTTGGGAATTCCATTACATCGACAGGCTTCACCTGTTTATGACTTACAAATATGTATAGGGCCTTCAGATGTGGAAAGCATCAGCCTACAAAAGCTTTTTTCATGATTTAGACCCTGGTTTATAGCCTCCGGGATGACGGCATGACCTACTTTAGACAATTCTGGAATCGCATGAACACACAAAACTGACTTATACCGAATCAGAACCTCAGTCCATCAAAGTCTACTCAGACTGGTAGTCTCTCTCCAGGGTCTCAGGCAGATGTGTGGCTCAAGTGGTTAAGACGCTGAACTGCAGGCTGTGGAAGGTTGGTAGCTCAGCAGTTCGAGATCCAAGTGTGGCGCAAGACGGAGTGAGCTCCCGTCTCTAGTTCCAGCTCCTGCCAACCTAGCCGTTCGAAAGCAAGAAATTGCAAGTAGATAAATAGGTACCACTTCGGTGGGAAGGTAACAGCGTTCCGTGCGCCTTGGTGTTTAGTCATGCCGGCCACATGACCACGGAAACATCTTCGGACAGCGCTGGATCTTCGGCTTTGAAACGGAGATGAGCACCGCAACCCTAGAGTCGGATTCGACTGGCTTTCGAGCAAGGGAACCTTTACCCTTGACCTTTTTTACTGCCAGATCTTTTAACTGGAGATGCCGGGGATTGAACCTGGGACTTTATGCAATGCCAAGCAGGTGCTCTACCACAGCCCCTTTCTAAAGTGATTACTTTCTGAATTTTTCCGAACATGCCATTACGCTATGAACATGGGCACTGCCATACGTAACAATACACATAGGACTGTAAATGGAATACGTACAAGCTTTTGGAAGCAATCCTACACAGATCTATTCAGAGGTTAAGTCCCATTTTGTTCCATGGGGGTTCCCTCCCAGGAATGTGCTCTTTGAATTACAGTGTCTGTCCGTGTAAACAGCTTCTTGTTGACAATGCAGAACCACTTGCAACACTGAGCTAATTGACTGTATTTGTTTTGAGAGCCTGCCCATATTGCCTAAGGCATACTGCGGGTGTTGTACCAGATTGGCTGATACAAAAGAACAAAATGGGCAGGAGAAAGGTAGCCTTGAACCCTTTTAAAGAAAACCTTGAAAACCTGCGTCTGGAAAGAAATAATGCTTATAATGGTGGTAAGGGACCAGAGCTTCCAATGCACCTAAAACAACAGTAGTACCTTGTTGATTTCTGCCCTTCTGTAGATTGTTGGAGATCTGAAAGATAATTCAAAGGATAAGCTGATGAAACAGGCTGGGTGTGAACAACAACTCGCTCCGAACCAACTCATCAGCATGTGGAATATTTGAGAAGTTACAAGTTCCAGAGTATCAGGCAAGCAATGTGTTCTCCGTCTCCAACCAAACATCATTTCTGGTCCATCCCAGGAAGATTGTGGCTCTTTTGTGAACAAAAAAATAACTAAAAAGACACACTGACTCCCACAAGCATTGGACCACGGCTTGACAGCTTTTTGTGTCTGCTAGAATTTGTGTGCCTGCAATGTGGATAGGAAATTCCATAGCCACTCAACTGGCAAGGTCCAGTTTTGAGGAAGGCCCGTGGCCAGGATTTTGTGCCTTGTGGGGCAATTTTTTCCCCTGGTGGGGCCGAAGTTCTCAGTGCAGAAAGAAAAGCCATTCAGCCAACAGAAAGCTGTGACCAGGATAGATCTCTAAAATGCAAGCTGTCAACCACTTTAGATGACAGTTCTCAGCGGCTAATCACTTCTGCCAGCTCAAGCAACAGTTCTGAGAACAAGCCGGCAGGTGGGGGTGATGACTTTGCTAGTCAAGGAAGCGAACACTTAGGCAGAAAAACTCTCTTATAGGAGACCAGTTTCTTGACACAGAATTAGAAGGGATCCTAGAGGTCACCTACTCCAATCCCCTTGCTCAGTACAAGAATTAGTCAGCTGCAGCACCCCACTCTGGTTAAAGGACAGCATGCCTTTGAATTAAAAAAAAAGATTAAAGAAAAAGCATTTACAGGAGAAATTCTTGTGGGGCTGTGCCTTCAAGAAAGGAGGCAGAGCCTCCAAAAGTTCCACCATAGCTATGGGCCTGTTTTGAGGTAACCTTGTGCCAATACTTATCACATACCCACCACTATTCTTGTGGAGAAGTGGCAGTGATAGAGTGAGAGATTCATGGTATCTTTGTAATGCAGCTCTGCCTTTGTTTCAAAACAAATGAAAAAAAGAATAGTCCCATTCATCAGGATAACAAAAATGAACCAGAAAACCAACAAACGGTTCATTTCATTTGTTCCCATGATGACATCATAGTGTTATCCTTCTCTCTGCATCATAAAAAAGTCCCAAAGCGGCTCACAACAAAAACCACTGAAACACAAACCAATAAAATTTTAAAAGCATAAAACAGGAAAGGCTTTCAGAGTCAGCAGATAATGAAAACAACAGTCATAGGAACAGCACAGAAAATGAATTTAAAATGTACATCAAAACCCAAAAAATAAATAAAACCAGGAACCAGAAAAGTATAAAAAGATACACTAATATATGTTCTCTGTCAGGTTACTGGAAAGTAGTTGAGTGGAAGAAGAAAGAAACACCTGTGATTCATGAACTTTTCCTGTTGTTGTTGTTCAGTCGCACAGTCGAGCCCGACTCTTCGCGACCCCATGGACCAGATCACGCCAGGCCTTCCTGTCTTCCGCCGTCCTCTGAAGTTAGCTCAACTTCATGTTCGTTGCATCGATGACACTGTCTAACCATCTCATCCTTTGCCGTCCCCGTCTTCTTTGACCTTCAATCTTTCCCAGCATCAGGGTCTTCTCCAGTGAGTGCTCCCGTCTCATTTGGTGGCCAAAGTATTTGAGCTTCAGGTTCATTATCTGGCCTTCCAGGGAACAGTCAGGGTTGATTTCTTTTAGGATTGACTGATTTGATCTTCTTGCAGTCCAAGGGACTCTCAAGAGTTCTCCAGCACCATAGTTCAAAAGAATCTATTCTTCGGCGCTCGGCCTTCCTTATAGTCCAACTCTCGCAGCCATACATGACTACTGGGAATACCATTGCTTTGACCATGCGGACTTTTGTTGGCAGGGTGATGTCTCTACTTTTTATCATGCTGTTTAGGTTTGCCATCACTTTCCTCCCAAGGAGCAGGCGTCTTTTAATTTCATGGCTGCTGTCACAGTCTGCGGTGATCTGGGATCCCAGGAACGTGAAGTCTGTCACTACTTCCACGACTTCCCCTATCTTTGCCAAGAAAACCCCATGGACAGTATCAAAAACCTTTCCTGTAGCTGGTTTTTAAACTGGGCTCTGAGGACAGATTTCTCGATGCCCCAGTCAACTACACCCGCATCAAGACTGGGGTGTAGTTACTTGGGGTAACAATTCCTGCCTGACATGAGGCATGGGGTTCTGTCATCATCTGTTGCTGCCGTCTATCGTTTTATCATTTTTATGATTTAATGGTTTTATGTGGTAAGCCGCCCTGGGCCCGTGGGGGTAGAGTGGGATATAAATTAAATAAATAAATAGAATAAACAAATAAGATTTTATTACTGGAGCCCTTTTGTTTTGATCAGAACTACAGCAGAAAGTGCTGCAACAGCATAGTACTTCACAGGGGTCGTTTCGTAGAAAAAGAGCTAGGGGAACTCATTAGCATAACTCATTAGCATATGCCACACCCCCTTGTTGAGCATAACTCATTAGCATATGCCACACCCCCTGACATCACCGGACGTGTGTCATAAGGCCACACCCCCTGACATCACCAGAAGTGTGTCATAAGGCCACACCCCCCGCCACCAATGGTCCTGGCCGCCGGGAGGGGCCCGGCGGTGTA